CTGCTCAGGGCAGCCATTGAAATCCATTACCGTTAGATCCCGGCCATGAAAGCCTTCTTGAATACCTCTTTTCTAAACTCGACTCCAGAGCTGAAGAAGGGGTTCTACTTGGCTATGCACCAGGATTCAAGGGATACAAGATCATGCACCTCAAAACAGGTAAAGTTGACATTGCAAAGTGGTGACCAGAGTCCTGACAATTGTCATGGAGAGAATGAAGATGAGGGAGACTAACCTGAGTTTCACTATCCTGTGTTTCAATATGCAGTCGACACTGAAACCCAGAGAGAAGAGGGTGTCCAAATTGTAACTCCACCAGACGATGAAGAGGCTGGTGCACCAGATGAGGCTGAGATGCTAGGAGATGTTCCAGAGTCAACGCCAAGTCCAGAACCAGTCCAAAGATGTTCATCAACATCAAACAAGGAAGTTCCAGCAAAGCGACTGTCCTACTTTGCAGGGTTGTCAGTACCAAAAGAGCCTGCATCATGGAATGAAGTGCAGCAGCTGCCCACAGTGGAATAAAACAAGTGGAAAACAGCAGTGCAAGAGGAATTTGATACACTACCAAAGAACAAGACATGGACTCTTGAAAAATTGCCAGTTGGCAAGAGGACCATCGGTTGCAAATGGGTCTTTTAGGCCAAGCAAGATGAAAGAGGACATGTACAAAGGTACAAAGCTAGGCTTGTTGCAAAGGGCTACTCTCAAAAAAAATGGAGAGGACTTTGATGAGACCTTTTCTCAAGTTGTCAAGCACACCACCATTAGGATGCTTCTAAGCCTAGCTGCTTCCAGAAAAAATGCATGTTGAACATCTGGATGTGAAAACTGCATTTTTGCATGGAGAAATTGAGGAACTATGCATGCAACAGCCTCCTGGCTTCATGAATCCCAATAACAAGGATCTAGTGTATAAGCTTCAGAAGTGGATCTATGGCTTAAGGCAGGCAGCGAGAGCATGAAGTGAGAAGCTGAGCAAGATGCTGTTAAGCCAAGACTTCATCAAAAGAAAAGTGGACCCCTGTCTCTTCACATGAAACGAAGATGGCAGACTTGTGTACATACTTACATATGTGGATGACCTGATGCTTTGTTGTGAAGATCAACAAGACATCAAAGAGTGATTTTTTTTCTTCGGCCGGAATGGACTAATTGCATTTCAATACATTTTAATGGGAAATGGTGCTTCAGCTTATGACCATTTCGAGTTACGACCATCTTCCAGAACCAATTAAGTTCGTAATTCGAGGCACTACTTGGAGCACTGGTTCTTAACCTTTGTTACTCAGATGTTTTTGGACTGCAACTCCCAGAAGCCTTCACCATCAGCTCTGCTGGCTGGGGTTTCTGGGAGTTGCAGATCAAAAAACCCTGAGTAACAAAGGTTAAGAACCAGTGACTTGGAGGATGAGAGGGTGAAGGAGGCGATGGTAAAATGGGCACAAATTTTTGAGTACAATATTGATATTGATGAATGGACAAAGATGTAGAAAGAGAATCATAAAATGATTAAACCAGTGAATCTTAGAGAAAATGTCCTTAAAATGTTTCATAGATGACACTTTACCCCTTTAAGGTTGGCAAAAATGTCAGAAGGTAACAGTAACGCATGTTGGGAGTGTAAAAAAAATCCAGGGGCTTATTATCATATGTGGTGGTTATGTAAAAAAGGAAAAAATGGATACATGTTTTGGAAATGGTAAAAGAGATTGTTCAACAAAAAAAAAATTTAAATCTGAAATGCTATTACTGAATATAAGGCCAGAAATCAGTGACAAGAAAATATAGTCTACTGTATATATTCACAGCAGCTAGGTTACTCTGGTCCCAAAAATGGAAGAATGTAGAGATACCAACATGATGAGTTATTAAAGAAGCTATTGAATATTGCAGAACTAGACATGCTTTCACAACTCCGGGAGGCAGTAGAAGACAGGAGGGCCTGGCGTGCTCTGGTCCATGGGGTCACGAAGAGTCGGACACGACTAAACGACTAAACACACACAGACATGCTTTCAGAGGCACTGCAGGATCAACCAAGAAACTTTGTAAAGCAAAGCTGGAAGCTGCTATATAACTGGGCCCAGAAAAAGACAGGAACTTGGGGGGGGGGAATTAGTTTATAGCGAACTAGTGCTCACTGGAATCCCCTTGTATATACATTGATGACCGGACAACGGTGAAATCTCCGACTTATAGGAGAAGGGAGGATGTTTAGATGTGTTTTTACTGTTATTGTCTGTCTGTTTGTTCTGTTAATTATCTGTTAGATTGTTAATGTTTTTAAGTTTGTATTGTTTAGATATGAATAAATTGGTTATTTAAAAATATAACTGGATAAGACAGAGCGATAGACATCTCAGTTTGATGAATTGCCATACTACCAGAGTTTAGGTCCCTATGGATGGTGTCAATCTTTGTTCAAAAGTGGGCAGCAAACTGCTCACCTGTCAAGGAATCTAGTTGAGGCGCTGGATGCTCTTTGATGATGTGGAAAACCCGATAAAGCACCACCTGTTGGTTAGCTGCCTCCCCAATCCACCCAATATTGTAGATTTTCTTGGCAGCCTGGATGGCATTACAATATTTGCCAGATATATTTTCTTACCGCAGCCCGATTAACATCCAAGGAAACTTTTTTCCAGATGCTCTCCAGTCTTCTCCTAACTTGTTTCATGGCCTGAGGCTCCTAGTAAACCAAGGGGAGGAGCAAGCTTTGAAATGCAGAAGGCATTTCGGAGCAATAGAGGCAACTGCCCCATTTCTTGCTGAGTACCATTCGAAGACCTGGTTTTAACAAACACATTGGCCAGCTCATTTGGAAACCAACCCAAGGCACTGTAATAGTAATGACTTCCTATACCTAATTGTGATAAAATACTGCAAATTTTATTTCAATTTATATTTGCACGAATGAAACAATATTTTCTGAAACTTACTAGGCATGTCCAGCAGTAAATTTAGGCACTCAGAAAACAAAAATAAAAAGAAACAAAATGAAATTTAAAAACAACTTTTTTAAAATTGAAGTTCCCCCATAGTCCGTGGTCCTATGTTAAAGATCTCCAAATATGTTTCTTGGGAATAATTAGCACTACGTATACAAAAGGCCGTATGTTAAGAAACCTATACCTTTTCCATTAGGTCTGAATGAGTGGGAAAAAACAGCTGACCTACGACATGCAATGCAGCTCGTTAAGACATTTATGATGAGAAAAGATTCAAGCTATGAAGATAAGGATGGTAAGTAATGAATTCAAGTACTTCCAATTCTTTCCACCAGATTCTCTACCCAGGATACATCCACCGAGCCAAAGTGATGTGCAATCTCTGAAGTCAGCTTAGAGAAAGACCAAGTTAATAACTGGGTTAGATGGGAACAATGGTGATTGGAAGAAGAACCAAGAATCCATCACTCATTTTCCTCATGGTTGTTAGGCACCACAGTTCTAATATGCTGCAGGAATAGTCAGAACAGCTGCAAAATGTGTAGAAAACAACCAGGGGGTTATAGACTCCTCTATTTGAGGAAAGAGTGGAACGTGAGAAGCTCTTCAGCTTTATGGCCATCTTTGAAAAGTAGTACAGGAGTTCATGAACGCCTTAAGGGGGACAGGCAAGTTTACAGGCTACTGAATTCTCCACATTGAACTGAATAGATTTAACGGGTGTTTAAGGCTCATCTCTCTGAATTAGACCTGTGACTTAGTAGAAATGTTGGGCTGAAGACTGCATTTGTTTTCAAAGTGGACAGGGTGACAGAGTGTGGTAGTGAGCCAGGGGTACCAACTAGTAGATTTCCCAGAGAACGAAGTTGCTCAGTGAGTTATCAAGCAAAGAGACAATATTAATTGTAGAAAAATTATATTGAATCAAGTTTTCAGCTAGGTTCATACATACAGCATAGTCCTTATTCAGTCCTTTTGTCATCCACGGCAATATCAGTACAGTGGACCCTCGACTTACAGACGGCTCGACTTACAGACTTTTCGAGTTACAGACGTCTCTGGCTGCAAAATTTAGATTTGACTTGCAGCCAGAGAATCGACTTACAGACCAGAAAAAACCCAAAATGGAATAAAAATAGAATAAAAACCACTGGTTATGGGATTAATCGGTTTTCAGTGCATTGTAGGTCAATGGAGATTCGACTTACAGACTTTTTGACTTGCAGCCACCATTCCAATACGGATTAATTCCTTAAGTAGAGGGTCCACTGTAGGTTCAGTCCAGTAAATCAGTCCAGTAAATCTTTATCCTTGTTAAATCCATCTGACAGCATTCCTCAGATCCACACCACAAGATTGAATGCTGGAACTGCTGGCTGTATTCCACCTTCAGCCAATCGTTGGCTTCCTTACACAGCTGTTACAAGTTTTACTACATATCTTGTTCCTTCACAGCTGTCTAATCAGTATTTTATAGTATTTCTTTACAGTGATTCTTACAAATACTTACAGCATTTAAAAGTTCTTACATATGGTTTTACAAAACTGTATTAACAATTCTACTCAGGTTCTCATCAGACCAGTCACAGGGGCTATAAAACAATGGCCACTTCATTTATTTATTTATTTGAGTTATTTTTATCCTGCCTCTCTCCTTGAAAAGGATCCAAGACAGCTTACATTACTGAAAGGCAATATTCAAAGCTTAAAACAAGTGACAGGAGAAGCTCTTTTCCTCCAACTTTCAAAACATTTATCCTGAGAATGCAAATCTTTGCTTATTTTTTTCTTTGAAAAAAAAGTGAATGTTTTCTTCACAGTGGAAGAAATTTCTTTCTTTGGTTGTTGTGGGTTTTCCAGACTGTTTGGCTGGGTTCTGAAGGTAGTTCTTCCTAACGTTTCACCAGTCTCTGTGGCCGGAATCTTCAGAGGACTGGAGTCAGAACTCTGTGCTCCTGTGGTTTTCCATAAAATTGCACCAGAGCACAGAGAGAGTTCTGACTCCTGTCCTCTGAAGATGCTGCCCACATAGGGTTGCCAGACGTCTGGAAAAGGGAGGACATGTCCTGCTTTTTAAGCGAAAATCCTGCGTCCGGCAGGAAAAGCTAAAAAGCTTTAAAATGTCCGGCATTTCTACCTGAAAATGTAAATCACCTCTCCCTCCCTCCTTGGTTGTAAGG